AGAGAGAGAGAGAGAGAGAGAGAGAGAGAGAGAGAGAGAGAGAGAGAGAGAACACCAACTCCTGAAAGTTGTCCTCTGACCTCCACATTCTTACTGTGACACTTAATTTAACTTCCACCTTAAAAACACAAATAAATGTAAAAGATGTCATCTGAACAAGAAGGATGAGAGAAACAATACCATTTCATTACCTGTTAGCCTTCTTTTGAGTGGGATTCCAGGCGGCTTGATAGGAATGAAACCTGTATAGCTGTATAGTGTGAGAAATGACAAGAGAGAGATTGTTTTCAGTACTAGCAAGAGTGTGTCTGTCTTAGTGTTCTGTTACTGTGAAGAGACACCATGACCATAACAACACATATAAAGGAAAGCATTTAATTGGGGCTTGCTTACAGTTTCAGAGATTGAGTCCATTGTCATCCTGGAAGGGATCATGGCAGTATGTAGGCAGAAATGGTGCTGGTCAGGCAAGAGGAGAGAGAGACAGAGACAGAGACAGAGACAGAGAGAGAGAGAGAGATTGAGATTGATTCTTGGTCTGGCTTGTGCTTCTGAAACCTCAGAGCCTACCCCTAGTGGCATAATTCCTCCAATAAGAACATACCTTTCCACAACAAAGCCACACCCCCCTGACCATCCATTTAGCCCCATTGCCTAATACGGCCACATCCCCCTAACCTTTCAAATAGTGCCACTGCCTGATAAGCAAGCATCCAAATCTATGACTCTATAGGGGCATTCTCATTCAGACCACCGTAGTGTCTAAGTTATAGTCAGTTTAACTTTTCCTTTGTTTTACTTTGGTCTTGAAAATAATTTGGGTGGCTTTATGACATTTCTCAAGTTTCCTCAAGATAGAACTGGATGGAGTGTTAGCAGAATACATAGTTTAGAGACTTAAGCACTTGCTTTTCGAGTGCCACTATTTACAGAAAGAAGCAGCGGTTAAAGCCAGTTGTAATAACTTAGTTCAGAGTGTTTAAAGTGCCAGACAGAGTAGATAAGTTTTAGAACTGTTTACCTGATAAAATTTAAAGATTGTAGGTATAAACATCCCTGACCAAGTCGCCTGGGCGAGCTCTTTGATGTTTGCTTCTCTTAAAGTTAGTCCTGAGCTATACTTAATTCTGATAAGGATGAATATCCACATGGAAGTGATTGTCCCTGTGTTGTGTGGCCTGCCTAGCTTATTGATTTTGGGAAGAGAGAAGGAAGCTGTTTGTAGGAAGAAGTAAGTCTATTTCATGTACATGTTCTCCAATTTACAGTTTTCTAGCCCACCTTTGTGTTGATAGAGCCATTGCAAGTAGATCAAACCCATTTTATCAGTCTTTGCTGAGAGGTTGAACCTGCAGATCCAGTACTGAAATACCGTGCTTGTCTGAATTCTGTGTTGGGTAATGGGGTGCTTTTTTTTCCCCTCAGAACTGTATCTTGGTATGTTTGCATGGTGTGGATAGTGAGTGAAAGAAAGGGGAAAGGGGTGAGGTGTTTGCTCTTTGTGCCACGGTGTAAGCTTCTTTTAACAATTTTTATTTTCTGATCATAAGCCTACACTTGATCATAGAGTTAGTCCTCACCACCCAAAATAATGTATTATTCTTGAAAGGTTAAGAACCAATTACTGTGACACACTTTTGGTCTTTTTAACTTGAGATGCCAACATACAGAAAAAAAACCCTTAGAGTTACAAATTGAGTTTTGCAGAACCCGAGGATGGTTCTTTTGTTGATCTCTTCTAAAAGCACATGGAATACAGCTATATCCACATGTTGCCACTTATCGGCAGTCTGATCTTGAGCAAGCCATTTTATCTTTCTTAGACTTAGTATCCTTGCTTATTACAGCCCCCATCTCCCCAATATTATCCTGTCAGCTAAATGCTACTGTTGTGAGAAACACATGCCAGAAAGTACCAAACTGTGTGGTGCTGCAGTTCCAATGATTGGCTCCCGGTATGGATAAAATGTAAATCCTAGCCCCAAAGGGGAAACTTGCCACTAGCTTCTGTTATTCCCCCAGGGAAGCAGCTAAAATATTATAAGATGTCTACCCTCCTCTTTGCCTGGGAAAGCTGACCTGTTTTCATTTTCTATTTGGTTCTTCTCACATTTTCTTTTTACCAGATATTTATCAGGGAATATTGGTTAGACTAGCTTTTGGTTCAGCATGCTTGTTGTTAGATGCAAATTACTGTCCACTCAACAACTGACCTGGGCTGCCAGGGCTTGATGTCAGGTGAGACCATGATAAACAGTGAACAAAGAATGTCAGAATGTTGGAATCAGACTACAAAGGAAGTCAGTATAGCTGCTGTTGT